GCTGGACCCCTCAAGGATGGGAAGAATCCATCTCGGTGTGCTTGGTGCTTCCCACACGAGGCTTCCTGTTCCTCGGATCACTTCCCCATCCCTTCCGTCTCCCTGGAAACAGCTCCTCTGGAGGTGTTCTTAACTGCACTAGTGTGGGCTTTGTTTCAGTCACCTCCCGAACGATTCATCCCTATGTCCACTGATTCCTACTTGAGTTTTCTGTCTGTATGTGCTTTATTGTCCTTTGAAATCCAATCTCTTTACCTCAAAAATGAAAGAAAAAATGACTTCTTTGTGAAAATGAGGATAAAAATAAACTGTGTTGCTTTCAATTGAATGATCTCTAAACCATTCCACAGGTGCTTTCAGACAATTGATTCTGTGTGACGGTTGCTATGGGGCACCTGTCCTGTGAGGTGCTCCTTGAATGTGCCTGTCCCATGATTACTAGACACACAAGCGCACTGATAATGTATTCGAGACTTTGCAAGGCACTATAAGAATAATCCTCCTTAACATTTGTGTGTATGTGTGTGTGTGTGTGTGTGTGTGTGTGTGTGTGTGTGTGTGTGTGTGTATGTGTGTGTGTACATGATATAGCACCTGTGTGGAGGTCAGAGGATAACTTCTGGGAGTGAATTCTATCCTTCCAATATGTGGGTCCTGGGAATTGAACTTAAATTATCTGGTCTGGCAGCAAGGCAGCAAGTGTATTTACCAACTATGTCACCTCACTTTCCCTTTTATGTTTTTTTGTCTTTAAATTTAATAATGCAGACCTTGATACTACTTTTCATTTTGGTTTTTTGAGACAGGGTTCTAGGTTTCTTTGTGTAACTGCCCTGACTGCCCTGGAGCTTGCTCTATAGATCAAACTGGCTTTAAACTCACAGAGATCTGCCTGTCTCTGCCTCTGGAGTGCTGGGATTCAAGGCATCCCTCCCTAGGAGGTGGGGACCATGATAGTCTTAAACCTATGAATACTTGGTAAATCTGTGAAAACACATGGCTTTTTCAAGAACTAAACACATAGAAGCAAATGACTTAATAGAAAGGGTCATGAACTTTAATTTTCTTACTAGTTTCTCTCAGCTTGATTTCATGGACACAAGTCATTCGATATCTCCAGTTTCAGCATCCACTTTCTCCATGGACTTCTTCCTGATCAGCTTAAGTTTCCTTCCCTTTCAGCAAGATGAAATTTTTTTATTCCTGATTTTGCCATTATCATTTCCAAAGAGCTTTGTTGTGTCCCTGGCTTTAATCCTCGTCCTCTTCTCTCACATAGTATTATATAGAAGAAGTCTTCCAAATACAACCTTTGTCTCAGATGCAGAATTTCAAATCTGCTCAGCTCATCTATTGTGGACTTCACTGGGCTTCAGAGGAATGGAACACTTGCATTTAAGTTCAAGTATTTATGTCTCATTTAAACAATCTTGTTGGATTCCTCATTGCCTGATTAGCATACCCTTTATATTCTGGCCTACAAAGAGTGCCAAATTGTCATGATTTAATTTTCCTGGGATATTTCTTTTTACTCTTGAGCAAAACTCTTGAGCAGTACCTTTACTGGGCTCCCTGCTTTTACATAAACATGATGAACACCTTGCATATGTGTGCAACTCTGCATATGATGCTGAGAAGACCTTTATTACTCTTCAAAGTCAGTCCTGAAAACCACATCCCAGGCTGTCATCCCCTTTATGCTCATGTAGCACTTGGTGTATAGTTACATAATAACACAGTCTTATTGCATTCTAAAGGGACAGGGGTTTGTGTTCCTGAAATAGTCCAAACTCTATAAACGCTGGGTTTCTGTGATTAGCTTCATTGTAAGGTGCAGGAGTGGCAATCATACTCAGGATACTCAGAGATAACTCAGGAGGTGTGTGAGCAGACTGAAAACAAACCTGCCCCTTCTATTTAGAGCTGGAAGACATCTTTATCATCTGCTCAAAAGGATAGCATATGTACATCTTTCTTCCTCCAACATTTTTCATTTTAAAATTTACGATAGTTGTTGCTAATCTAAAGTGGCACCCCCCCACACACACACACACACTGAACCTGGGTGTAGTTTTAGAACCCACGTTATCATGAACAAGATGGTACTGATTGGTTAGAGTCAATGCCTAACTTCAAATCTGTTTTCTGTTCTTAATGTTTTAGAAGTCTCTTATTTATAGACGAGAAAAGAGGCCTGGTGAGTTGTACCAGAGTCCTCATAGCAAATAAGTAACAGACTTATGACACGAATCCATGGTTTTCATTTTCATAGCACTCTTCTGACTCATTCCTTTAGCCCAAGCTGGCCTTGAACTTATCATGAGTTTGAGCTTCTGATTCTCCTGCCTCTGCCTCCCAAGTGCTGGGATTATGAGTTTATGCCACCACAATCTATTTTATGTTATATGGAGAATTGAATCCAAGGTTTCCTGCATGCTAGACAATCTGCGAACTCAGCTGCATCCCAAGCCCCAGGATACCTATGTTTGTTAATGATTACTCCACTCCCACTGCTTTTTCTACTCTCTTTAATGCAATTGAAATTATCTGCATATGAGGAAAAAGGGCCATGCACTTGTATACCTATTATTTTGTACACTAAAGCTGCTCAATATGGGGTTTGGTAAGTATTTAGCTTGCAATTTTCATGTGAACTACATGTCTGATATAGTTCCAAAGGCTTGGTGCTCCTCTGTTTAAAATACTACTTCCATCTTTGTCTTTTCCCACTCTTTGGGTTGGTAACCTTCACCCAGTTCTGCCATGGTAGATTGTAAATTCCAAAGGGAGGTATAATCTTGGCTGCTATTCTGGGCTCTACCACTCTTATTCACACCACTGGCTTTGGAAACATGAAGACTCTTCACTTACACAATTGCCAGACATTTTATGAACACTGCATTTACATCTTGGTCTCACCAGGTATCCTCCCCCCAAACTGGTCACACTACTAGTAACATCATAGCCACCACAGCAGGGGCAAAGAATAAATCACACTTGCAAACTCCAGTGCTGAGCTTTGTGTAAACATGCAATCTATCTTCCCTTCCCTATATGGGGCTCCCAAACATACATTTAAACAGTCAAAAAACAAAACAAAACAAAACAAAAACAAGCAAAAACCCCACCCTTTCCTCTTCATATCCTTTTCTGGTTGTCTAGAATCAACTTTAGTTTTGTTTTGTTAGTTTTGTTTTGTTTTTCTTACAACAACTGCTCCAACATAGCTATGCATCAAGAAATTACCAAGATGTGTCTTCATGCTTGTGCTAATGTGACACTCAGCTCCAAATCATCTGTCTCCCTACCTTCAGCCTTGATCTTGACTTGACTCCACAGCATGATTGAAATTCTCATAACCACAATACATTGTATGGATCCAGAAATAATAATAATGCCATAAATATCAGTGGGTATTTCACTGTGAAATGTTTAAACAAGCTTATTTTCCACAGAAGGATGACTACAGATCCTGGATACAACAGATGGTCAAGTTTGTCAAGAATTGTTTTTCACAAGTCAGTATGCATGTAAGGTATCGTGTTGCTTGGGTATGGAGGTGCCCAGCCCCACAAAAGAAGCATACAGATACTTGTTGCTCTGATCATTCTGCCAACCCTGAGGGTGGGTCTTCCTCTCTTCTATACCTTGCTCCTTCCCAGTTAGGTGTTCAGGTAGGTTTTCGATGAAGAGCCTGAACTCCTGCCAGGCAGGTAACTACAGTATTTGCTGCTGCTTGCACCTGCCTCCGTGGCATTGTTACTTGGCACTGGTTTTTCCCCATATAAACCACAAAATCCTTTTTCCTCTTTATTTTTAGACGTCTAGCACTTAGTATAATGCCTGGTGCTTAGTGTGTTCTCATTAATGCTTTTGGAATAGAATTAGAGCAGATTTGACAATCTGTGCAATAGATCAAATCTGTGAATAATTCTTTTTAAGAGCATGGCCAGGTGTGGTGGTGCACTCCTTTAATCACAGCACTTGGGCAAAGGTGGGCTAATCTTCCTGAATTCAAGGCCAGCTAGCTTACTCTGTCTAGCCAGTCCCAAGCCAGTCAGGGGTATATGTTGAAATTATGACTTAAAACTAACAAACTAGCATTTCTACATTCTGGAAGCATTCTCAGGAGGTAGGAAGGATATCTCCCAATATATAAGCACTCATCTAACTCTTTGGGGTATTTAAAAATCACTTTACGTAAGATAGAGGAGAAAGAAGTTTTTTTTTATAAAGAAGCTCTCACTGGAGAAATCCTCCTCCCTTCTTCCCTTCCTCCCTCCCTCTCTTCCTCCCTCCCTCCCTCTCTTCCTCCCTCCCTCTCCCCTTTCTTTCTCCCTTTCCTTCTTTCCTCTCTCTCTCTCTCTCTCTCTCTCTCTCTCTCTCTCTTTCTTGGTGTTTTTTATTTATACATTTTAGAAATAATATCAGGGCTGGAGAAATGACTACATTGTTAAAAGCACTGGCTGCTTTTGCAGAGGACTCAGGTTCAGTTCCTAGAACCCACTTGACAGTTCACAGTAATTTGTAACTCCTCTTACAGGGGAACTGATGTCATCTCTGGCCTCTGTGGCCACACAGCATGCACATGGTATATGTATTTACATGTGAGAACACACACATATTATATATATATATATATATATATATATATTCAGTCTAAAATATACAATGACTAATGCCTATTTGTTGCATGAATTAATGGGATTCCCTGCTACATTTTTATATGGGTGCTTTTACGGTGCCCTTCCACCCTCCCTTAACCTCATTGTTTTTCTCAGCTCCTCATAATTATTCTTTCATTTCATTTCAGTTCCATTTTCCAACTTCACACACGTGAGGAAGATCATGTGATAACTTATCATTCTATGTCTGGCTTATTTCAATTAACATTGTGTCCTCTTGCTGTAAATAAAAGTATCTTATTCTTCTTTGTCTCTCATTAGTAAGCAAATAGGCATCTAAGGAAATATAGTAAAACAAAATACAAAAAAAAAAAAAAAAAAAAGAAACCCTTCACAAATCTGCATGCCATCCTTGTACATGGGCCATGCTAATCTTGTCTATATCATTCAATTTTTGGTATATGTGTTGTCAAAGCATGAATTTGCCTTTTGCTTTTATAAAAATTATTATTCTTTCCATTTCCAAGAAATTAGACCTGGTTGATTTCTCTTTCCTTCGTCTTCCTCCTCCACATTCTCTCTCACTCTTTCCTATCCATCAGTGATGCTGCTATCAACAGGCACTGGTGTTTCGTTATCCCTACTATCCCTACGCCGTCCTTCTTCTGTGGGTGGGATGATTGACAAATACACCCTCATACTTAATCCTCACAGTGTTGTGCAGCAAGAGTCTTATTCTCATTCTGTAAAATGAAGAACTTGGGATTCTGAGATTCTGAGAAGTTAGCCATACCCCTGACCAGCCATTTGTTTTTTGTTTGTTTGTTTGTTTTTTGTTTTTGTTTTTGTTTTGTTTTGTTTGTTTTTATCTACTTCTGAAGTGGGGTTTAATTCTATTCTTTGACTCCTGGAAGAAGTCAAACCATGCATGTGCATGGTTGGGTCAGTTTGCCCTGACTCCAATAGGCAGGCACCCTGCAAGCTCCTGAGAGGCTGTTTGCAGATATGAAGCCCTTGGTAGTTATCAGCCTGAAGGCCATAGTCACGGCTCTCTTCACTCATTGTGTGGGCTTCTCCTCTAGAAACAAGCTTTCCTTTTCCTCCCCTCAGTTGGTTCTTCCTGAATCTTTATTTTAGATCCAACTGCTTTCTTCTGGGACACAATGTCACATTTCACCCTGGTTTGGCTTCACCAGAGTAGCAGTGATTGTCGATTTCTGGACAATCAGGCTCAAATGTAGCTTTACATTCCTGCAGAACCTAAAGTGTAAACACAGGTTTCCAGGCTGTTTCCAAAGGCTCCTCTCCCGTGGTACAGGTATGTGGCATAACAGATAACTTTGCAATAGGAAGAGGAGACAAAAGGCCCAAACCACACTAGACAATTTTCCTTCTAACTTGTTTCGTTCTTAACTACCACTGACCCAGATATTTGGTAACAGATGGATTGAGAGCTAACTTGAGCTAGGATGTGGCCACCCTTGCTGTTAACTCTCAGTTTATAGTCAAAGTTGCCGATACGGGGGCGCGGAGCTGTCTGTCCCCCAGGGGCAAGCTTCGCTGCAGTCTGGAGATTGAAGTGTCTGCTCTGTAATGCCCCATGATCCTCCGTGGCTTTCTTGTCACATAATTCCTAATGTTCCTGCAAAGGTTACTTCTCCTAAGTGACTGCTTTATTGCATTCTCCCCTCTAGGGGTGATTGCTGCTGCCTCACAAGTCCCTGTTGCGAGCATTCCTTCCTTCAGTCCTGCCATCTGCTCCTGGGCATGATTCTACTAACCACATTTTCCCTGACTTTCTTCATTATATCTCCATATCCCTTACACTGTATATGCCTCCCCCCCCCCCTTAAATGGAGTTGGTGTTTCTTAGGGAGGAGAACAGAAAGAAATGAGGGGGTTTATAGAAACAACGAGAATGATCTTTGCTTAAGGATGTTCCAAATCAACCCACTTATAAATTGACTGTTTTAGAGAGGCAGGCTTCAAAATTGGCTGGGGAGCTAGAAGGAAAAGAAGTAAAAATACTTTGAGCTCAGCAGAAACATATTTAGTTAAAGATTCAAAGAGAAACAGATGCAGAAACCCAGAGAAGCAACTAAACCCCAGTAAAGGAAAATAATAGATCTCAACTGGGTCTCACAGCTGACACATGGGTAGTAAACCCTGGCTGGGACATGGAAGGAGGGAGCCAAAGGAGACAGAGATCAGAGATCATCTGAGAACTTGGGGTCTGGCAGTGTGGAATGCCTAATGTCTCTCACTGAGAAAGGCTCCAGAACTCAAACATGCTACAATTTCTTTTAAGCTTCAGTATCAGAAGGAGATACACATGCCTGTCTGTGATGCCAACATCACTATCCTTGGCTGGCCTCCAACACCTCTCTGGACTTCTGTTACATTTTAAGACCCCTCCTGAGTGAGAGAAAGGGTGTTCATGAAAGAGATGCACACGTGTTCGTGTTCCTTCATCTGATCAACACACTTATTTGCCAGAAATTATGTTGGCTGCTTGCAAATATTGGTTTGTATTTGAACAGTGTCTTAGAATTTTCTTTCTATGTTCCAATACAAGCCCCTTAGCAACCCAGGGAGTGGATTTTAGTGCTTCTCTCTTGCAGATAGGTTAGAGATAAGGAAGCTCAAGAGGTTAAATGACTTTGTTTAAGGTCTCAGCTTCTTATGGAAAATCCGGCATCTAATATCTATCACTCAGTATACAGGGCATGGGATTAGTTGTTGAGATGCCAAAGATGAAAAAGACACAGCTGGGTCTCTGCCCTCAGTAGATTAGAAACCAGGATGGGAGAGCAGAGATGAACAAAGGCTTAATTCCTCGAGGATGATGCAAGGAGAAGCTGGCTAAGATAAAGAGAGTTCCTGATAAAAGCAGCATAATTGAGTGGAGACTGATAAGGATGTGAGGCTCTTCCCTCTCCGGGGTTTGAATTGCAGTTGAGAGGGGATAAAGCCAAATGAAGTCTCTAAGATCTAAAGGCATGAATCAACTGTGAGGGCATTTTAGATGGTGGTGACTGAAAGGTTGGGAACATAGTTTGGGGCAGGAAATAATGTAATTCATACAATGTGGAGCCCTTTCTATTCTTATTTATGATTTTGTGGTCTACGGAGGAGTGGCCCAGCCTGGAATTTCTTTAGTCTCTATTCGTGTCATCACTACATCCACCCCACCAGGGGCTCCTATTTCCTTGGAGTTAGCTCTTGAAATGGCCTCCTCTTCCTTCTCAATGCCTCATCAAACTTAGAACCATGATGTCTGTTACTACTGGGCTCAAAAGTCTTTTCAGACTTACAGAAGTAAGTCATGGTGTGACACTGAAGGTCAGGGTGGCCAGAATATTCATTCATTCATTGAATGGGATTGAATTCATAGCCCTTCAGGTAAGATGCGGTGGTTCTCACTTCCACCCTTAAGTCTCCCAGGGCCTCAGTGACCCTTGGTATTTTGCCAGAGGGGCCCCCATAGGAAGTTTTCTTATATAACCAGGTCATAAGTTTCAGCCAAAGACAGCTTCACCAGATACTCTTTGCATTTTTAATAACCACTATCCTTTTCTTTCTATTTTATTAATTGAGTGCTTCTGTCCTACTTAGAGTAAACCAATATAAGTCAACCAGGGCTTACAAACACACTTCAAGGCAGTCATTCCCTTTACAAAAGGACTCTATAGAGAATTGCTTTTAACAGTCAACTAATTTTATTTAAGATGACTTGAGTGCATTTTAAAAATAGAGGTATACATGTGTTTTGAAGAGAGCAAATTAGTAGTTTGGTACTGGTTACTTCTTACTTGATTATTTTGTAATTAATTAATTTCACTGTAGGCTATTCTGGGCTTCTGCTGCTGTCAATACTTTTATGCAGACAAATCAATATGTCAACCTTCATTCTCTTTGGAAGGTGACCATATGAATGGTTATCTTATTGCTAGGTTTCTGTCATTCAGCATTTTTAATGTTCCTATGTGATACTGACTTATGGCCTTAAAATCAACCTTCCACTATAGAAGACAAATGTATTTGTTTCCGCAGTCTCACTTTGTGGCTAGTGTTTTTGTATGTGGATTTAGAATTGGCAAGTAGGATATAAGTAGGAAATAAACTGGAAGCTAGTTTCATTAAAAAAATAGAAGAAGAAGAAATAAAGAAAGAAATCATGGAGAAAACCATCATAGCAAGGGTGGTAGTGTCACCTCTGGCTCCTGAAGCTAGAGGTTACAAGCATGCATGCTGTACTCAGCATTAGTCACCATACTGGAGCTATGACTCTGAACCCTCAGGCCCACAGTGGCATTAAATGATGTTCCCAGTGAACAGCATGGTGGCATGACTTAGTCATTATTCATGGATACAGACATTTTACTGTTCTGCTGACCTTCCAGAAGATTTTATGTATGACCTCATATCCTTTAATAAACAATTATTTGTACAGGATAGAGTTAGTTTCTGTGATTTACAACTGTAGAAAATTTCATCTACTCATTAACTGGGGAAGTTACCTCCCCTCTTCACTCTGAGCTCTCCCCTTACTGCCTGCTCCCATCTATGTCCTGACTGCAAATTCATTCCAGTATGAAGAAAGAGAAAATGAAGTACTGAAATTAACATCACATATACATACATACACACACACACACACACACACATACACACACACACACACACACCTACCTCACACATTGTCACTTACAATCCTATGGGAGACTGAGACTTGTAGTCTACCAGGCAGGAAACTAGAATGGAAGTTTTCCACAGAGCATCCTAATGTTTTTAGGCCTCCACAGTATCTTTAGAGGATTTCAGTTTTCAGATTTTCAATCTGCTCACTGCTCTTGGTGGTCTCAAACTATCATGTTTTCTAAGAGATGTGTCTTGTAGAATCAGACTTACATGGCCTTACATCCTGACACCACCATTTATAAGCTGTCAAATCTGGGTGCTTTCTGTTTGGTGTAGAATAGCCTTCTCTGTAAAGCTGGGACACATACTGTGGGACAATGCTCTTGTACACTGTAAAGATTTGTCACTCATATTAGTTTAATAAAATGCTAATTGGCTAGCAGCCAGGTAGGAAGTATAGGCAGGGTGACCAGACTAGAATTCTGAAAAGAGGAAAGGCAGAGACACAGCCAGATGCAGAGGAAGGAAGATGAGAATACCTCGCTGAGAAAATGTACCAAGCCATGTGGCCAAACACAAATAAGAATTATGAGCTGTATGAGTTTGTTAGTGATGAGCATGAGCAATAGGCCAAACAGTTTATAATCAATACAAGCCTCTGTGTGTTTATTTGGGACTGAATGGCTTCAGGATGGGGTGGGACAGACACTTCCATCTGTAGGGTCTCCACATCAATAGTGCCTCCTTTAGAAGGTTGTGGTGAGGACCAAGATAATGAGTTAGCATTCTCCTTATGAATAATGTAATCTTGGCGTAATTATTGCTGCTCAAAATTTA